AGACAAATGGGAGACAGGTGAAGGAAATCATGCCACCAACCAGACCCAGAGTGGGAGACAAGTGGGAGACAAATGAAAGACAAGTGTAGGAAACCATGCGACCAACCGGACCCAACACTCTGAGGACGCAAGCCCGGAGACACAGTCAAAATCATACGACCAAGGCAAGCAACCCTTTCTAAGGAGTAAGAACCCCATACAGGTAAACCTGTTTGAGGAAAAATCAACCTTTTGCCCCATGTTTGCCAAGGCTCTTGGCCCAACCGTCCATACAATGGCTAATTTTTCAGGTACGATGCAGATGGAAGTGGCGAGATTGAGTTCGATGAGTTTTCCGACATGGTGCAGGAATTGTTGAAGGCAACCGCAAGTGTGAGTGCAATTAAAATTCAATAAACCAATGTTCTTTGTTGAGTTGCTTCGCTTTCCTCAGATTCCGGTGGGGCATGAACTTCCCCACGACCGTTTAATGACTATGTGGCGCACAGCGGATGCTTGGCCAAAAAGGCTGCACAAATGCAAATGTATGCACATGCAAGATTCAAAGAGGGAATTAATTAGTTGCCCCTTGAATTTCCATGAACTTCCCTTGGACTTCTGCAAGGACATGCACCAAAAGGGTTTCCTTGACTTCAGGGAGTTCTGCGTCTCTTGGCTACCACCCGCCCACTTGTCGGCGAGTCCGTACGCATCCTGCGCTGCATCTGGCCGCGCTACAGATTCCAACGCAGAGTGGCCCATGACGCTGCCATGTTTCATATAATTTTGCCACGGGTTTGGCCCACCAAAAGTAAAGTCTCCGCTAGGTGACAGTGACAGACCTGGATAGATCTGGATAGGTCACGTTGATCACAAGAGGCAATGATTTCGACAGAAATGGTGGTACGCGCGGGCCCTTCCTTTTGTTCTGTGCTCTCTGGGCGCGGTGTGGGTGGTGTTTCATGGCGCTGCTTCCTTTCCAGATGCTATCGCCCGGCTTCTTTCATCTCGCAATTCAATTCTCTCTTG